GGCACAGTGGGTATATCCCACTGTCTTAACATCCAAACTGTGTTAGTTCGAGCCCCGCGCTGGTGTGAGCAGCCAGCCTGTTGTCCCCAGCTCATCGTCCACCCAGCGATTCGAAAGCTTCGGCGAGTAGATAAAATGGGAACCACTCCTTACAGAGGGTGGGCACGCCAATCTCCCTTGTGGGAGGGTGTTGGTGACGGTCGGGACTTCCTGGTGGAGGTCGGAAAAAGGTGAAAGAACTTCTCGCTCAGCTACAAAAATCCCTGCAGTGGATGTTTCCGGCCAGGCGGTGGCAATGTGTGTATTTGACATACGGGTCCTGAAGCCTGGTCGACAAGCAGCCGTTCGGAAAAGGACTGAGCCAAGCCAGAAGACATTTACGCCGTGCAGTGACAGCGTGTGCAATTAGATGAATATATGTTTTCTTCCCTATCCCCTATGAACATTGTTAGTCCCCTGTCTAAAATGTGTAACTGTACATCGCTTTGAGCCCACTGGGGAAAGCGATTAATAAATTGAAAGTATTATTATTATTATTATTATTAACATTTGGTTGGGGAGTGAGGTGTTAAATTATTTTAGAAGTACCTCTTGGGGTAGAAAGAGAATTAGGTAGGAAGGGGATGTGATGACATTGAGGGTTCAGAGAGGCAGGGGAATATACATAGCAACAGTGCCCCCTCTAAGCTGTGGAGTATTGTGAGCAAAAATTCTACTTTGTGAGCTACTGGCATTAAAGTTGTGAGTGAGCGATTTGGCTCCTGCGTAAATTGGTTTGCTCTGGAGCCCTCCTTCCTGAGCTGAGACAAAATTCTGTGAGCTGGAGGCTAAACTCAGCTTAGCGGGAACACTGCATAGCAAATGAAGATATTGCAACAGAACAACAAAACAGGATGGGATATACATTTTAATCAAATTTATTGACTCACAGCCCCCTCCCCCCAATATATTATTTAAAAAACAAGAAGAATGGCAAGGTGTACTTACTCCATCTCATATACTGTGACTGGCAATGTCTGCTCCATAAGGGAGAATTTCTTGGTCTTCACTGGCTTAATAATAGGCTCTGAAAGGAAACATCAGGCATGACGACCCTTTAATGGGGAAAGCAGGGAAACCTCCATTCTATACCCTGTGGCCAAAAAGGAACTGGAGAAGAGAGCGCACAGTGGTAGACACATGCTGTGCATGAAGAATGCTCCAAATTCATTCCCACATCTCTGGTTGCTGAAGTACCTGGGCTGGAAAGGTCTTGGAGAACTGCTATCAATCACCATACATAGACAACATGCAGTGAGATCACTCAATGACCTGACCACAGGGAGCCCTTAATATGAAAATCTGAAAAATATCCAGATACCTATTCAAGTACAGTAAAGGTTCTGCTCTCTGGAATTCTCAGTTTCACTAGCACTGTCCAGAGAGCAAGCTCCTCCTTCTCAGTCACTGTGTCTTCAGGCATATTCCACTTCCACCTCTTCGGCCAGCTTGATATCCCTCCAGCCATTGCTGGGTTTCTTATAGCTGATGGTACTAGACGATGTCATCCTCAGATGCCTCCTTGCCTCTCAGTTTGCCATGAGCTCTCAGGAGCCAGCTCTGGTACTCCTAGGCAGCATTGCCTGCCTGCTATGTAGGAAAACTCCATGGCTGGGTGGGGTGAGGAAGGAATGGGAAGGGTTCCACTAGGCACGGGAACTGTCACCATGGTGTGTTTTATACAGTATTTCTCTCTTACTTTTACAAATAGGGTACCAAGCAAATAATACTGGCTGCAAAGAATCTAAGGTATTTCCCCATTCCTGTATTCTGGCCACCTACTGCGTAAGATGTTATATGCTACCTAGGCAGAATCTACCTTTCCCACATATCAGCTGCCCTGTCATCCTGCCAGCAAAATAGGTTGAAACCAGAGACCTGCGCCCAGCATTTCTCACCAGTCAGGGGCTGTGTGTCTTCCTCCTGCACTATGGTCTCCACCTCTGGCCCATAGACCTCCTCAGCGGTTGGATAGTATTTCTTATCCTCATGCAAGACCACATCCATCCCAGGATGGTCATCATCATGGTCCCCCATCTCATCGTCATCGTCGTCATCATCAAGCTGGGGGGGAAAAAACCAAAGGGCAGTTTTCAGCTAGTACAATCCTAATGACACAACTAGGAGAGAGAAGTTTCACACAGGCACTTTTATCACATAACAACTACGTCTTCGAGCTATTCATGTATGAATGGGCCATCAGGGGTCTAGAAAGAATTCTGGAGATAATTTTAATAACCTTCAGTGCAAAGCTATTCAATGTTTAGCAACAGTCAACTGACACAGTGCGATCAATTTATATCGCTTCCTCAGTGAATCAAACTTTTGACTTAATTATTTGACTTTGTTAACAGTTGTAGTAGTTAGTTCCCTTTTGTTTTAGGCACACACTGACAACCACGAACTTGCAAACAAGGATTTACAAAATTCTCTCCATCTGAATGATTTTCCAGAAACTGGAGCTCTGAATGGCCTGATTTTGTTTGCAATGATGCACTGATGATTAGCAAGAACAATTCTTCTATTTATAATATCCAGATTTTGTTGAAGCACTGCACATGTGCAATCAGTTTCTTTAACTATTTAAGTTTTTTTGTATTTTTCTCTTCTTTTTAATGTGCACAAAGTCATATACACATTAACGCAAAGTCCACACAAAAAGAAATCTTGATATTCTCAACAGGATTTTTTTACATACTGTTGTAATCATGGCAGATACATTATCATGTCTTTTGGCATAATCTTTGGCATAATTTTGCAGTCTCTGTCCAATTACTTAAAAAAAACTCAAATAGATTTTTTTTTAAAGTGAGATAGGCACGAAAACTTGGCAAGTACCTTGAGGCATCTACTGATGAAGGGGATTCGTCTAAACGAGCTGCTTTAATGGCTCTGCAGACAAGGGGCATTCTTTCTCAATAAGAAAAACTTTCATGACAATAACAGGTGGTTGACAATAGCAGGCGTAATTGGATTTAGGTGAGAAATGCATAGGGTAATATTGTCATTCATCTGCTATTGTCATTTGCCTGCTAATGTCATTTGGCATCTGAAATCTCTCCACTTTCCAATAAACAGGACAGATGGACTCCCATTCTAGCGGTATCTGAAGAAGTGAGCAGTGACTCACGAAAGCTCATACCGTGTCACATATTTTGTTAGTCTTTAAGATGCTACTGGACTCTTGTTCTTTTCTACTGCTACAGACAAACTAACATGGCTACCCATCTTGATCTATCTCCAGTGATTTTGTTAAGTGATTTAAGAAGCTGTCAGGAACAAAACCCCAGAAAATTAGTAATATGATTGCAGCCAATGTTCCCTCTAAGCTGCGGAGTCTTGTGAGCAAAAATTCTACTTTGTGAGCTACTGGCATTAAAGTTGTGAGTGAGCGATTTGGCCACTGCATAAATCAGTTTGCTCTGGAGCCATCCTTCCTGAGCCAAGACAAAAAATGTGTGAGCTGGAGGCTAAAAAACTGTGAGCTAGCTCACTCTAACTCAGTTTAGAGGGAACATTGATTGCAGCTGCTAAAATATTAATTGCTAATACTGGGAAAGTTCCCATCTACAAGAACAAAAAATGGCTTAATAAAATGTGGTCGGTTATAATAATCAAAAATTAACAGCAGCTATTAAGTTTAGGATGGAGAATAAAATCATTAAAAATATTCAATGGAGAACTGAGATAAATTATTATTAACTGTTAAAAGAGGATTAAACAACAAAATTATATTTACAGCAGTGATTCAGTTATATTTATTACAGCAGGGTTAATTAATATGTTCTCTTTTTTTTAGGACAAAGTTTGAGTCCGGTGGCACCTTTAAGACCAACAAAGTTTTATTCAAGGGATAATTAGATATTGCTCAGTTATCTTTACTCTAATTAGCTCTTCCTGGCAAGAAAATCTGTTTCAGTGTATCTAAGATGTGTGCATCTACACATGCTAAATTTGGTGTAGTGGTTAAGTGCACGGACTCTAATCTGGGAGAACCGGGTTTGATTCCCCACTCCTCCACTTGCACCTGGCTGGATGACCTTGGGCAAGCCATAATTCTGGCACAGCTATTCTTGAAAAAAGAGCAATGTCCGTCAGAGTTCTCTTAGCCCCACCCGCCTTACAGGGTGTCTGTGGTGGGGAGGGGAAGGGAAAGGAGTTTGTAAGCCGCCCTGAGACTCCTTCGGGTAGTGAAGGGCGGGGTATAAATCCAATCTCTTCTTTTTCTACCCAGAATTGAATGTTGTTGGTCTTGGAGGTGCGACTGGACTCAAACGCAGTTCTGACATCTGTTTGTTAACTCTTGCATTTGTATGCTAATTTACTGCTATTCACAGATCTTACCAACTGCTTTAATCCAATCTCAGCTATAATCGCCCAGTTTAACGCTAACTAGTCCTTCCTGGCAACTAACCCCCACTTATATGTAATGGTTGAGGAACTCTGGTTTGCATCAAAAGTTCATACCTTGAGTAAAAACTTTGTTGGTCTTAAAGGTGCCACTGGACTCCAACTTTGTTCTGCTGCTTCAGACCAACACAGCTACCCACCTGAATATTTCCCCCCCAGGATCCTCAAAATGCAAAACAATGCAATACTGAAATCTATTTAATTAATTAGTTAACCACGAAAGAGACCTGGTTGATAGACCTGAGTAAAACTATTAAAAAGACCTCTAGTACACTTGGTAACCACAAAAGAAAGACAATTTCAGTACCTCGTCGAGATCCTTTGAATCCCGGCCCATCTCATCATCGTCGTCATCAGAATCAAGTTCAGGACCTATGTAATTCCCAAACTCATCATAAAGGTCTGTATCCATTTGGTTGGGCTTTGGGAAGAAAGGAAGACAGAATTATATACATCAGTTATAGTTTGCATTCTACATAGTTTCTATCAAGCTGTATCCCTGTATTTTGCTGCTGGATCTTACCAGTTGTTTGGTGATTCAGGCACTAGATGGTTGCTGAGATATTATAAAGTTGTTAGAAACGAACAATTATTTTTTGTTTTTAATTTAAACTTCATACATACAATTCTTCCCCAAGCAACCTCCACAGATGCCCACTACTATTGCGCCTGTCTGTCATCTAGTTTTTCTCTTAACAGCTGCTAACACGTGCACTCTCCTAGTTCCTAATTAATCCAAACCATTGTCTAAACCCATCCACCTCACAGTAATCGCTCTCTTTCAAAATTCATCCTACCCCCCCCCCAAATTCATCCCACCCCCCCCCCAAAGAAAGTTCAAGCCTCTTTCTCTGCCCATTTCTCTTAGGACCTCTTGACTGTAACTTCTCCCTAAGCTTTTCATTCACAGTTATCTGTTCCAGTATTCTCCTCCCATCCGTTTATTCTCCACAGCTTTTCATCACTCTTCTCCAGCCTCCTTTCCTGAGTTTCCCCAAATTAACGATAACCCAGTTCTTATTTTGAAAAACAAAACCAGAAAACCACAACCTTCAAGGAGCTTACAGTGTAAAACTGATAGAAGGGAACGTACCTAGTAGGGCAGAAGCAAGGGATCAGGTTACGCAGTTTTAAAAACTGTTTAAAATAACTTCATTTATATTTATTTATATTTATTATTATTTATCTAATTTATACCCTGCCCTCCCAGCTGAGGCCGGCTTACATAAAGGAATGAAACACATCAATAACAATTTAAACAATATTAAAATTATCTAAAAACATTCCAACATTATAAGGTGCTATTAACATTAAACACAGCATGACGAATTAGCTGCATGGAACCCAAGGAACATGTTCTTCTCTCACATAATGGAGGGAGACCACTGCTTCTGACAAAGAAGCAAAATTAATAAGAAGCCATAAGTTGTATTTTTCCCATCCCACTTCTCTTTCTCTCCGATGGGGACCCAAAGCAGCTTATGCCATCTTCCTCTCCTTCATTTTATCCACACAACAACCTTGTGAGGTAGGTTGGGTTGAGAGTGTGTAACTGGCCCAAGGACACCCAGCAAACTTCTATGGCACAAGTGAGGATTTGAATCTGGATCTCCCTACCCCGACGCTATAACGACTACGCAAGGTCGGCTCACTAAAGGAAGGTGGTCCCCAATGTGGCGTATCGGTTATGGTCGCAAGGTCTGGGTTCAAATCCCCATTCAGCTGAAAACTCACAGCCTAGCCTACCTCACAAGGTGATTGTCGGGATAAAATGAGGAGAGGGTACGCCGCCCTGCATGTTGTGCCAGAAGGAAAGCCAGGTACAAAATGTATTAACGCAAAAGCTACACGACAATATACGTACCGCTAGGAAAAAATTATCCTTGAAAAATCAATTTCTTCGCCTCTTCCTCCCCTCCGGAAAGCGCCTCTCACTCAAGCGCCGCACGATCCTCCAACGCTCTCTGGGCCGTCGCGAGACGATGACGTCACGGAGACAGCGTCGTTAAAGGCCCCCCCAATGAGCCGCCTCGCCTTCTTGCCTTGTCAGTACATTCTGCCCCCTCTTTTCGCCTTTAACAAAACGTGTAAACAGCTAGTCCATATTTCTAGTCGAGTGGGCGGGCAAAAACAACAACAACCCAGAAGAAAAGCTGCGAAGAGGGGTGTGAAGTCTGAACAGGCGTCTAGCGAGGGCACCCAACCCGACCGGGGTCCTCGGTTCTCCCGCGGCTCCCGGTTGTTATGGAAACCCAAGCCAGAGCATCGTTGCTATGGAAACCTGAGGCCTAGTCTCGGGAAAGAGCAGAAGGAGGCTGGCGGCGACCTCCTTCTGCATGGGGATGTAGCGTTGCCAACCTCCCTCCAGGTGACTCCTGGAGGTCTCCCGGAATTAGAATTGATCCCCAGGCTACAAAGATCCGAGGAAGGGGTAGCTTTGGGGAGTGGACTCTATGGCATTAGGATAGATCCACGTGGTCGGCCGGGTTGGTCTGAAGCCGTGGAACAAATGTAGAGTCCAGCAGTGGCACCTTTAAGACCAACAACAAAGGTGTACTCAAAGTGTGAGCTTTAGTGTGCAAAGCACAGTTTTTCAAATACATTGGAATGGCAGGTAAGGTTCAAACTTGTAGACGGCTGGACAGCAAATGAACATGTAGCAAGCTTTTAGCTGGTTATTTAATTCTGTCTTTGCATAGCTTAGGAGCTGCGGTGGCTCAAGTGGTTAAGACGCTGAACTGCAGGCTGTGGAAGGTCGGTAGTTCAGCAGTTCCAGACCCGAGTGTGCCGCATGACGGAGTGAGCTCCCGTCTCTGGTTCCAGCTCCTGCCAACCTAGCAGTTCGAAAGCAAGAAATTGCAAGTAGATAAATAGGTACCACTTCGGTGGGAAGGGAACAGCGTTCCGTGCGCCTTGGTGTTCAGTCATGCCGGCCACATGACCACAGAAACGTCTTCGGACAGTGCTGGCTCTTCGGCTTTGAAACGGAGATGAGCACCGCAACCCTAGAGTCGGACTCGACTGGCTTTAAATAGGTTTCGAGCAAGGGAACCTTTACCTTTACCTTTGCATAGCTTAAAACATCTTCATCCTGTTACATGTTAATTTGCTGTTCAGCCCCTGTCTGTAAGCTTGAACCTTCCCTTCCTTCCAGCGTTGGAACTGCGGTGGCTCAGTGGTTAAGACGCTGAACTGCAGTTCGAGACCCGAGTGTGCCGCATGACAGAGTGAGCTCCCGTCTCTGGCCTCAGCTCCTGCCAACCTAGCAGTTCGAAAGCAAGACATTCCAAGGAGATAGGTACCGCTTCGTTTTGTGCACCTCGGTGTTAAGTCGTGCCAACCTTATGACCACGGAGATGTCTTCGGACAGCACTGGCTCTTCGGCTTGGAAATGGAGATGAGCACCGGAACCCTAGCGTTGGAGTCGACTGGCTTTCGAGAAAGGGAAACTTTTACCTGTACTCCTTCGAATGTATCTGGAAAAGTGTGAGTGCACACGGAAACTCATACCTTGAATAATACCTTGTTGGTCTTAAAGGTGCCCCTGGATTCTAAATTTGTTCTGTTGCATCACATCCTTGCTGAGCTACCTACCCAATAATATTTTGATATTATTTTATTTGCTGTAGCTTGACCCTTGTTAGCATTTTCAGTATATTCTGGATTGAGTTTCCCCTTTCTCCTTTGTTTGTTGTACAGAACTCTTCAGCAAGTCAGGGGTTAAAGAAAAGATTTGTTTTAGCATCCAGCCTGAGGAAGAGAAGAACACAGTGTTGCGTCAGTTTGATTGGTCTTGATTAAAGGTACTGCATGGGCTTTTGGTTTTGGATTTTTTCTGTGGACCACTATGGCTACCTGGAACCAATGTTCCCTCTAAGCTGTGGAGTTCTGTGAGCAAAAATTCTACTTGGTGAGCTACTGTCATTAAAGTTGTGAGCAAGCCATTTGGCTACTGCATAAATTAGTTTGCTCTGGAGCCCTCCTTCCTGAGCTAAGACAAAATTGTGTGAGGCGGAGGCTAAAAAACTGTGAGCTAGCTCACACTAACTCAGCTTAGAGGGAACACTGCCTGGAACCTCTGTCTAATGTTAGTAGAAGTTATCTAAGATTTACTACTGAATTTGCTTGTTTTCCTCTTCCCTCCGGAGGACTTCTATCAGATCTGCAGTGGAACTGGCTGTCTTCTGCTGCTTCTTCCAGTTCTGCTGCCGCTGCGTCATTGCAGGTTTGCAGCTTACAGATACACACCTGAACAGCTTACTCAAGATTGCTACAGCACAGGCATTTTGATGCAATAATTCAGAGCAAGAGGTGTCAGTTAGCAGACACGGTTAAATAAACCAAATATTGCAAGAGTGCTAATGTTTTAAACAAAAATACCCTTTGTGTTTGTGTCCTTTATAAAGTTTATCTCTCCGCTACCTGTCATTACATTTTATGACACGCATGGCCCGGCCCAACAAGGTCTCCTTTATGTCAGATCCGGCCCTCATAACAAATGAGTTTGACACCCCTGTTTTATATTGTGTACGGGTGGAAATCAGTATAACCTTATATATGAATACCAGTACTATTTTTAAACAATAAAAGCACTAATTGTGTATAGGTGTTATTTTTTAATTGTAAACTGTCTTGAATAGTAGAAAAGCAGTATATAAATATTTCCTTTATATGGAATCTTTCTCCAGCTTTTGGAATGTAACACCCATCAGAGTTTAGGAAAATGACATTGCTCTGTGACTAAAAGGAGGGGGAGAGAAATAGCTTGGAGGAGCTGCAGTGGCTCAAGTGGTTAAGACACTGAACTGCAGGCTGTGGAAGGTCGGTAGTTCAGCAGTTCGAGACCCGAGTGTGCCGCATGGCGGAGTGAGCTCCCGTATCTAGTTCCAGCTCCTGCCAACCTAGCCGTTCGAAAGCAAGAAATTGCAAGTAGATAAATAGGTGCCACTTTGGTGGGAAGGGAACAGCGTTCCGTGTGCCTTGGTGTTTAGTCATGCTGGCCACATGACCATGGAAACGTCTTCGGACAGCGCTGGCTCTTCGGCTTTGAAACGGAGATGAGCACCGCAACCCTAGAGTCGGACTCGACTGCCTTTCGAGCAAGGGAACCTTTACCTTTACGGCAAGAATCAAAGTTTGTGAGTTTGCTGCGGATGAAGCTTCTGGGAGAGCTGGGGGCAGAGCCAGGGCAGAGTTAATGGGTTCTGCAGTGTCCGTTAGCTTCCACTATGCTTTATTTGTACATTTGTAAATATAACAAATATTAAAAAGACTCCGTAAGTCTTCCGTGCGCCCTCATCCAAAGAAGACTAGGCTTTGTTATGCTGCCTCTGGAACTTCTAATCGCCTGGGGAAGCAGGGAGCGTGTAACAGTAAGCTTCAGTTATTGCTAGAATAATTTGATTTTTCTTTTTTTGTACTACTGTGGTACTCTCCAACCTCAAATTAATGATTTTGCTCCCAAAAGATTATTTGGGAGATCAACCCGCTCTGTGGAAGAAAGACTGTTGTTTTGGATGAGACATGAGTGATGTTGTTCCTTGGTTCCAGAACGGAGGGCAGGATGGATTTTCACGCTTTGGAAAAAGAGCTGCAAGAAGCCGTGGCTGCCGATGAGAAGTACCAGAGAGAAAATGAGGCTAAGTTCCGAGCGGTGCGCCAGAAAGTGGCATCTTACGAAGAGTTCAGGTTTGCTTAAAATGTGTTTTCTAACAGCCGCTCTCCCTTATCATTCCCGTCTCTGTCAAGGCCAAAACCGACTGCGTAAGCAGTACCTCATGCTCTCAGCACACAAATACTTTTGGGTTCCCAATCGCCAGCCAGGAGAACAGGAGAGCAGTGAATTCTTCACTGTGCCTACAGGATAGCCCAATCTTGTCAGAGCGTGGAAGCTAAGCAGGGTCAGGCCTGGTTAGTAATTGGATGGGAGACCACCGAGGAAGTCCAGGGTGGCTACACAGAGGCAGGCAATGGCCATCCACCACTGAACATCTCTTGCCTTGAACACCCTACGGGATCGCCATAGGTCAGTTGTGACTTGATGGCATTTCCCACCACCAACCGCTTATGAATTTACCACAATTGCAAGCAGGTCATCTGTAGTGTCGGACCTATTTGGCGCCGGCGGAGAGGATTTTGCTGCGTTCCTACATTACCAGTCAGAAATGTAAACTCGGCTTAGAGGGAACACTGCTTGGCGGAGAGGATTTTGCTGCGTTCCTGCATTGCCAGTCGGAAATGTAGAATGGTGGAGATGGTCCTGATTTCCAGGAGCTGCATGTGTCCCACGGTAGGGTTGTCAGTGACAAGGAAGTGGTTAATACCCTGTTTCCCCGAAAATAAGCCCTACCCCGAAAATAAGCCCTAGCAGGATTTCTATGCATTTGTGGTATAAGCCCTAGTGTGTCTTCTTGAGAAAAAATAAATATAACAGTGTCTTATTTTCGGGAAAACACGGTAGTTCTCTGTAGACACCCCAGATTTCAGATACAGGCTGCTGTCTTGCCCCTTAGACAGAACAGTGATGAAATTCAGGAGGTCCCCAGTGCCTTTTAATAGTTCAGACACATTTTCTTCAGCTTTAGGAGCCACCCCAAACATTTAGAAGCCAGACTTATTTTTCAGCCTTCAGGGTTTTATATTTTAGTGACCATACTTTCTCATTATTGCTGCCACAAAACTTCAGAATGAATCTGCCCCTGTTCCTTAGGTGAGAGATCCTTAAGTAATATCCTTAGGTGAGGTACAGTTGCACATAGCCTTCTGGAGTATCCTTTGTATGCTAACTTCAGGAGGCATTATATTTCACTGTGTTTGCCAGTTCATTCTGATATATAGTCTTACGATCTAGTTACATATCAACTCGCTGGCAGGGACCCAACAAGAATTCTAGCAGTTGCAAAATTTGTTTACTCCTTTGTCTGTTGGATGATAGATGACAAATAACAACTATTCACTGCTTAAAATCCATGTATCATGGCTTTTATTGGATAAAAGGAAAGGAAAGGCTACCATAAAATGTTGTCCTAAATTCTTCATTGTGTATTGTCATTTTTAAAGGTGTAACGAAAGTGTTGTAGTGTATAAATAAATATGGGGTAACCCTAAAAAGCTAATGTCTTCCTCACATCCGTAAACTTTGTACTTCTACTGAGAAACTCCAAGAGGCCCTTACAATAAATCTGATCAAAATACTATGTGCCACAATGAAATTTCTAGGCATCCTGGCATCTGGGTTTTGTCAAGCCTTGAAAGCGGGGCTTGAAGCAGAAATTTGTATCTGCTGTAACTCCCTCTGGAAAGTCAGCATTGTAGTAAATTGCACTCCATAGAGAGCCCCTTCTGTGTCTCCTACAGGGATATTGTTTTAGCGTCACACTTGAAGCCTCTGGAGAAAAGGGACAAGACTGGAAATAAAACAAAAGTATCGTGGAACAGCTGTGCAAGAAAAGCAAGCCACACTCAAGAAAGCAAAGTGGAGCTGCCTCAGGTAGAGCACGGAGAGTGTTTGGTATCCTTAGTTCCTTTCGAGCTGGTCTTCTTTCTCCAAGCCATTCTTTAAAATTCCTTGTCCTGAATTGTGAGATAGATTGGAGGGAGAGTTTGCATTCCCCCCCCCCCCAAGCATGGGGACTTCCCCAAGCCAAAGGCTGGTCATTTGTTTTACATGTGAAATTCCCTGTACAGTTTTATAATAACAGCAGTGGTGTACAATTGTGAGAGTCTTGTTTTATATGTTGTCAAAGGCTTTCACGTAGGGTTGCCAAGTTGTATCGACTTACCGGCGGGAGAGCGTTGCTCTTCTCCAACGCATGTGGAAGTGACACGTGCTTTCGCCAGTAGCTGTGACTGGCATCCTCAGAGTTTTCTAGACCTTCAAGTAAATCAGAAGGCTGAGAAAACAAAAAGAAAGAATTTTTTTTGGTGACTTTTAAATATGTTAATAGAATCTGAAAATACAATTTTAATGAATCTCACTAAAATAAAAAATCAAAATCAAAATCATTGAACAATTTCCGCTTCTATTTACTTTTCTTAGAGCCAGAAAAAAATATTTTTTGTTTTCTCTGCCTCCTGATTTACATTATCATACAAACCAGATCATTTTTACAGTTATTTCTGAGTGCAGAATTTGAATGGAGATTTCACAGAATTCCTTGGAGTAAAATTTTCTGTACATCTACCGGCTTTAAGGAAGTATTATAGGGCACACAACAAGGAAAATGGCATATAATTGATTCTTAATTCAAATAATATTCCAGTGGCCTTAAAAATGTCCATCACCAAATTCTCAGATTTTCCGAGGCACATTGTAACAACTTCTTTAGTGTTACAATCTCTCCTCTGTTAGTCTTGCTCCCTTTGACAGTTTGCCCCATTGGGACCCTGTAATTATGGATAATATCATCCTACTAATTGCCTAAAGGCTGGCAGGGCTCCTGGGCCAAATTACATTCTTTCCAACTTGTTTAAAGTTGACCGTTCCTGGTGGGTCCCGGTGCTTGCTAAATTATTCATAGTGATAGAAGCGTCTGGGAATATCCTATCCCCTACTAGCAGAGGCAGGCCATTGTTACACCATTCCACAAGAAAGGGAATACTGAGGATCCTGCAGATTACTGTCCAGTTAGCCTCTTATTTGTGTTAAGTAATTTATATGCTAGGAGCTGCAGTGGCTTAAGTGGTTAAGATGCTGAACTGCAGGCTGTGGAAGGTCAGTAGTTCAGCAGTTCTAGACCCGGGTGCCGCATGATGGAGTGAGCTCCCGTCTCTAGTTCCAGCTCCTGCCAACCTAGCAGTTCGAAAGCAAGAAATTGCAAGTAGATAAATAAGGACCACTTCGGTGGGAAGGTCACGGCGTTCCGTGCGCCTTCGTGTTTAGTCATGCCGGCCACATGACCACAGAAATGTCTTCGGACAGCGCTGGCTCTTCAACTTTGAAACGGAGATGAGCACCGCAACCCTAGAGTCGGATTTGACTGGCTTTCGAGCAAGGGAACCTTTACCTTTAATTTATATGCTGCTCGTATAGTTCTAAAAATGGAAACACGGATCAAGAACTCTTTTTGGGGGGACCTGAACAGATTGGCTTTAGAACTGAAATAATATGGCATTGTATTTTGGAGAAAGAATTTTTTGGTGCAGAATCTGGAGAGTTTAGCCTAGAATGCTATCATCCGTGTCTAAGCTGCACAATGTTTGTAGGCACACAGCTGCTACAAGTGATACCCCTTTTCCAAAAAGGGAAGTTTAAGTCTTCACCCAGTGGCTCAGGGAGTGGGACAGTGTTCACATGGTTTGGAACATCCGACACTTTTCTTACCTTCCAGGAGTTGCAGCAACTTCCGGAGACTTCATCGGAGTTCTACAGAGATTGGCGCAGGTGTCTGAAAAGCAGCCAAGAACAGTACCGGTTCCTGCTTCAACTCGGACCCCAGAACCTAGGCCAGATCTTCCAAGCAGACGTTGCTTTTGGTCTCCTGGGGGAGTTCCTAACAGTACTCAGTGAAAATGTCAGTGTCAAAGACCGAGACTCTGTCTTGGAGATCTTAGAGCGACTTTCAAGCACCAAACGCTTTGGACTGAATGTAGAACTTCTGAGCAGGCAAGAGAAGGACAGTTGCAGGCATTTGTTTGAGAAACTGCAAAGGATGGAGACAGGCCTTACGTGTCCCCCCAAATTTGTACATGAAGAAAGTACCACAGTTGCCCAGACTAGTTGCCAGAGCGAGGGGTCAGCCGAAAGAAAGTTGTTGGAACTGATGCAACTTTACCAAGTCCCCTGAATGAGTCTGAGCTTGTTGCATCAACCAACCCACACAGGGAAGTTGTGGTGGAACATGGGGAGGAGAGGAACGCCCACCACAGACATCTCTTTCCAAGCCTCATTAAAACAAACGGGAGATGTGCAATTGCTTGCAAGCCTTCTTGAGCACCTGCTGTTCGTTTCCATGAGGCTTGTGTAGACCAGATCCTCAGGGGACGGGGCCCAGTTCTGATCTGGTGCTTGCTGCTTGTCTCTGCTTGTGTGAGTTTCGCCACCTCTACCCAGGCAGATAGTTCACTGCAAATGCCTCTGGCAAGCAACCGGTTTAAGGGATATCTGCTTTAGAGGTTTGTTCTGCTACAATTGATCCCACATTTGTTTTTTGGTTTTTTTAATATGTTTATTTATCAATTTTCCACTTAATTACCTTTAACAAATAAACATGATTTTATACATTGAGTCTAAATTTTCCATATTTTGTTAATCCAGTTATACAGGCTTTTCCATCTTTCAGTAAATACATTCTCGTCTTTGCCTTGCAAAATCAGACTTAATTTATCCATTTCTGCTACCTCTATCAGTCTACATAATATTTCATCTCTTGTAGGGAATCTATCTTGTTTCCAGTATTTGGCCAACAGTATCCTTGTGGTAGTTAATATATATGCTAATAAATATTTCTTATTTTGCTTATATTCCTCTGGAATCATATTTAATAATGCTATTTCGGGAGTTAGGACCAAATTAATGTTCATAATGCCTGCAATCATCTTCTGTATCATTTTCCAATACCCCTCGGTTCTTGTACACCGCCACCATATGTGGTAGAACGTCCCTATATTTCTTTTACACTTCCAACACAAATTAGATACCGTTGGGTGACATTTGGCTATCTTGTCGGGAGACCAATACCATCAATGAAAGACTTTGTAAATATTTTCTTTATAATTATAGGCTCTCATATATTTCAGTGTTTTCCAAGTACTAGCCCATGTTTCTATTGTATGGCCTATATCTTGCATCCATACTATCATTGTCGATATGACCCTCTCATCCAATAGAAACTCCTCTAATAGGAATCTATACATTTTCTGAATCATTTTGTCACTAGTTGACAGCCATATCATATCTAATTGCGTTTTAGCATCTTGAAATCCTACTATAACATTGATCCCACAATTGTCATGGCCTATCTTTCTCTCTCTCTCCCTCTCCCTTCCTCCCTCTGTTCTGTCTTGGACTCATAAGGGTGTGGCCCCTAACCAGTCTGCAATTCCAGGGCTCAGCTGGCACAATCACTTTCAAAGCAATAATAAAGATGTGAGCATATGCAAAACGTCTTTCCCTCACTAATGAATTTCTCACAACCAGGGCTTTTTTGTAGAAAAAGCCCAGCAGGAACTCATTAGCATAATAGGTCACACCCAATAGCAGAAACTCATTAGCATATTAGGTCACACCCCTGACAGCATAGCTCATTAGCAGATTAGGCCACACCCCATGCCTTCCCTTGGCAAGCCCCCCCTTGAAGGGAAGGGAAGGCACAGGGAGGCATTTAAATGCCTCCCCAATCCTTCCAGGGGGCCCCTGGCCCACCCGCCTTAGAA